TAATGTATCACCTAATTAGCAGCCATAAGAGACATGCGGAGCTGTAATTGTTTTTGTTATTTTTTTACGTGACACAATATACACAATAAGGATAAAGGTAGTGTAATTTAAAAAAAAACCTGATTTTGTTTTTATTCATAATTATAATACCGAGTTTTCATTATTATTACTATTCAAAAAAATTAAAAGTTATTTATGTTGAATTTTTAGTAGCCCTGTTAATAAAGAAACAAAGTTTTGTATGCTCATTATTTGATAGCATACAATCTTGCCTAATTATAAAGTTTATACTATAAACACGTCATAAGAAAGTCGACGTTGGTCTATTATTCAAGACATCTTAGCGGAGAGATACTAAATTCTAGACATTTTTAGTGGTTTTTGTTAGTTTATTGCTAGTTTGTTTTAAATATCCTAGAGTCCTAAGCGATGCGGTCATTTATGCACCAAAACAAAAGCTCCAAAAGGCAATAAATTTAGATGGTCCTGTGCATGAACCGGTTATCTCCACTTTTTATCAAACATTGTTTTTCCACGGGAATATGTTCATAAAAAAAGGATTCACATTTTCGTGTATCAAACAGTCAAATCGGATTATTACCTACAAAGAAAATTTCAAAACGCATTTTCCCCAGTCAATAGTGGTTAATGGGACAAGGGACTTTCTTTTGGTTGTCCTGAACAATTTCAAAATATGATGATAGCCGGTTCTGCACCGGACCCTTCGATTGGTCAAAGGTGATTTTTTTTTATGTTTACATATTTTATTTTCTTCATGTTTGTAACGTTATTTCTTAGTCCCCTCCCCCCCCCAAAAAATAATCACAGCTTGTGTGTATTAGGGGTAAAAAAAAAGTGTTGTGCACAAACGCTTTTACATAATATGTACTTGGTATAAAAACTATACTACGGATGGATAAACTAAAATACACTATAGATATGACCGGTTTATACAGCAATAAATTACATTAGCCCAAAATCCGTGAATTGACGTTAAGTGTATTATTTCTATTAGTTATTCAACGGCGGCATATGCAAATAACAATAATGTACATAAATTTACAATAATTTCCCATTATCCCATGCATTATTAATGTATATATATTTTTAGGACAATTTAAAATATTATGTATGTACATTTTAATAATATTAATAAGATAATATAATTGCTTAAGTATCTTTTTAAGGAAAAAATATAAAAAAGGACGGCAATCGATCGATTAGTTCAAAAACAATTATAATTAGATTTTTTTTTTGATTTGTTGTTTACTTGTCATTGAAGGCTAGTATTTAGTTGATATATTTTATTACAATAAAATGTGGTAAAATAAAAAAGGTTTAGCTTTGATGATTTAAGTTTTCACAATTACTATTATATATATCCTATATTTATATCAATTACATAATAATTTTTCAATTTAAGCAATTGTCGTTCACCGGTTCCGTCAAAATATTATCTTAAAGCTTATAATAGGTCTTCGTACTATTTTTTTTTTTTTTTGTAATGCAAACAATAATAGAGAAAATGTACGTTTCTGGGAAATTTATATTAGTAGTTAAAACGCATTTTTACCCATGACTACAATATTTAGGATTAAAAGTTTATCTACAAAACTGCGATTTGCGATAAAACAAAGTTCCCTAACTAAGACATAATCTGTTAAAAGATTAAGTCTACTTTAACTTGGTCTTTAAAGTAACATTATCGAAACTGTTAGACAGTAATTTCATACCATTAATATTTACCAAGTCACTGGTATATCAAAGTGTAGATTGAAAGCTGAAAAGCTTTTCTTATAAATAAATTAAGACACGGGCAAGTTGTGACATTCATTTTACTGAACAACTACAATACTAAACTTCTATTTGTTTTCGTTAAAATTGCATTATGGAGAAAATCCCAAGGTCGGAATCGTTAGAATAAAAGAGGTGGGAACAATTTGGTTAGATTTGATGTTTGATTTGATATGTTTTATGAATCTGTATTGTAAGTAGTAAAATAAATCGATTTTATAAATTACATTTGAATACAAATAATTTCAACTACATTTAGCGTATTTTGTCAATATCACAAATTTCGAAGCTTTTTATTTCTTTAAATCAGTCCTCTCCAATGCTTGGCTGCATAAATGGTCTTCCCTTTCTTCTAATTTTGCTCAATGGCATCGGCTTATCATCCCCAGTCTCCTCGGTTACCCGTGGTTCCACAAATTGCAATTATACAGGAAACAGATTACTTCCTTCTTACGACTCAGAGTAGGCCGCTACTTGTTACCTGCTTTTGTTTAAAAATTGGCTCTCGATTTCGTTCTTTTTTGTCATTTATGCGTGGAAGAAGCTGTTGGCGATTTTACACATTTTTTATCTGATTGTCCTTCTTTTGCACCTAACGGGTTCCTTATTTTAAATTTCCCAGCAGTCCATGGTATTCCTGATCCTATTATTATCCTTAATTTCCGTCCAGTTCCAATTATCACCGCTGTTATAAATATTTTCCTGAACGCTGGTTGCGCCATTTAGTTCACTATTCAATTTGTAAATAAATTTATTTTCACTATTTGTAGTAATAATAGTTGCGCTATTTTGTATATTTAAAATTTATTATCTTAATTTTATTTGTTAACTTTGTTATTATATGTAATTGTTGAGCCGTCATTTTATTTTTAATGAAGGCTGAAAAATAATCGTTATTTTCACTAATGGTTGAATAAACCCAATCAAGTGTTTTAGTTCGTTATTATGGATTATTATTATTTAAAAATAAATGACATTTAGAGCAATTGCGGCCGTTTCATTTTTAATCGCGATGCTCAAAAACTTTTGTAATGTAAGTGACACTTAGTCGACAGTCTTAATTTAAACCTTTAAAAGTTAGTTTTTGGGATTTGGTTTCAATTAGGACTTTACCACGATAAGAATAAGAGTTAATTCTTATAGTTTGAAAACTAGTCTCTGATTCTAAAACTGGTATGTTTCGTCGAAGGCATAAGAATATAATTTTAGGTAGATTTTAAAAAAATGCTTGTGTTATTAATACAAATGTATGTATTTCACTTTAAGTAATTTTATACATTTAAATACCTAAAAAAAATTAATTTTTTTACCTGAATTTTTTAGGCAACTATACTGTATCGTATTAATAAATTATCATAGTTCATATCTATAGTGAATTGCATATTCAATTGAAATAATCGATAACCTATTAAGGCGATAAAAGGGACTTATTAAGTCATTCTTAAACTTATACAAGTTTCAACTCTCTTTGGTATAAAAAAAGATGTCTCAGCTGAACATTCGGAAGTTGAGTAGCAAATATACATCTTTAATGATATGTCTACGTATGGGAATAGTTCGTGTAGTTTCGCAGTCCTAATAATTTTACATTTTTCGATCATAGTTTTGGGTAATTTATTTACAAATAAATTCATTAAATAATTTTTGAATTATATACATTTATTAGCAAATGAAGAATAAAGTCATTAGTATACATTTTTTGTAATATTTCTTTTTTTTTTGTAAACAAGAAGTTACATTTTTTATTAGCTTCGCCATAGAGAAATTTCTTCTTTCTAGTTCTGAATGTACTCTATCAATAATAGTAAAATAAGTACTAATTCTAAACGAGCCTCGGATTTCAAAATGTACTACATTCTAAAACTATCGTGTAACTCCTAATTGCTTACATGTAAACATAATATGTTATCCGTTAAAGATCATAATAATAAACGTACAATTGTACAATGTTTTAAAAAATGTTACCGATCCATTAAAATTTAGCTACCGGGAATGGACTCCCACAGTGGCCTAATTAGACTACTTAAGCTTAGCCTACTTTGACTAAAATATAGTCCCCCAAAAATATTCCTTGTTGAATTGAATATCAGTTAAATTTTATTATTTTGACATTTGATAAATTGAAAAGTATTGATTAATGAACGTTATTAAAACTCAAAATGATTTTTCAAGTAAAATTATTATAGATTATGTGTTATCTGAGATAAAATATTGACGGAAAAATATTGTTTAGACTTGAATCATGGGTTTTAACTTTTATATGTAATATTTTGTGAAATTGTTTTTATCGCCCTGAAAGTATGAAGTTGGCAATGAAATAGTTTTTTTTTTTTTGTTATACTCGTGTGACAGGTAAAACAATTTCTATAAGTAATTAATGTTAAAAAATGTTTGATGATTTGTATGGATGGCGGACCCCGTGGGTTATTTTTAGTCCACAGTTTTAGCCCTTCCAGAATTTTTTACCTGGTTACGCCTATGGACTCCCCTACTTTAAATGCACCACCCATAAGTCTTCAACTTGTTATTTTATAACATACAAACAACAACTACTATAAAGGTCAAAAACTATTTTTTATTTTTTTGTTGTTGGTTAGGTTCTTATACATAAACGCCATAGTTCAATTAAATAATTTTGAATCATTAATGTTAATCAACTAATAAAACCGTGTTTGTTCATGTGCGTTTCCGACCAGGCTTTCCTTGCTGAATGTACATGTGAACTTGTAATAATAATTCTAAGAGAGAAGTAGTTGCTGGTCGAATGTCGTACTTATGTAACGCGGCTGTTACGTCAAAAACACATACACCACAACCGACAACCGTGTGTGGAGTATTTCAAGCTGTAATGGACTTTTATTTTATTAGATGCATTCATTGGAGTGTTTCGGACGATTTTAATTCAAAAAATTCTATTCCGGACTTCCAGCCGCGAGCGGAGAGGCATATATTTCTACTGAAATATAAATGAACATTGCTCGCTTGTGTACGCCGGTCGTTTACGGATTTCGGTTGCAAAATTAATCGACCAACGGACGGATGTACAATAATTAATAATCCCACACTCGGTACATTACACAGGTAGAGGTCTCGTTGTATAGAGTTAAGCGGAATACCATTTTTTTCGAGCACGCCATTTGACTGAAGAGCAAGGAGAAAAAACAAAAAAATACCGTTATGCCATAAAAAATAATATTGCAACTCACCTCGGTGTCCTGCGTTGGTGCTCTTTTGTATTGTTTCAGACTGAGCCTGCGCCACGATCTGTTTTTGCCGTCACTGCTTGTCCCTACACCGTTCATTTCCATTGTGACGGCCCCCAAAACGTGCTGGGTCGAGGACAACACCAGGCCGAGGAGTGACCACCGTTCAGGTCAACATCTTGATAACAAACAGAAAAGCGAACACAATACGTTATAAACATATAAATGTAATGCGGTACCGTTCGAATATACAACCTTTATGAGCATCAAGACAAACAGCCATACTACACAATCAAGACAAACTACTGAATGTCGTCCGATGTGCTCGACACTGTCATATTGTATTACATATACAATGAAATTTTGTATTTATTTTTTTATTTTTTACGGATAACAAATACTTCCGGCGGAACCGGATAGGGAGTACTACATCGGTCGTTATAAGGATTAATCATTGAACGCGGAAAAAAAAAGAAGCAAAACGTTAAAAACGTTTTCAACGGGAAGTTTTTAATTTAATGGCCAGTTTTATTATTAAAAAATATAAAATATAATATTATATGATGATGCTTTAATATTAATATCGTTCATTTTTTTTTTTAGAATATTCTCAAGAGACACGGGTAGAGTTTTAGTGCCATCGGTCACATAAAACACAATTATGCCTTTACCTATAATGGTATACTCGTTATATAGAAACCAAAGCTGAAACTCATTACTTTATTGTTTAAATAGAACATTGAACAATATATTATAATATTTAAAAGAATATTTTGTTTAAATAGCTATGTTACGTTTTGATTCTTTTAGCTTAGTTATTTTAAATTAGTGTTTAATTTTTTACACTGTTAGAATAACTACAACAAAATGCACGACGTTGTAACTTTCCACGGTTCCGGTAATGTACACAGCCTAAAAAGTACACATACACATGTATCTATAAATACATTTAATATTTATGCCTAATGGCTAATACCTATATATTCTAACTATTACATACAACTAGTGTCAAAATGTACCAATAAAAATCAAATGGTGTAAAGTATGTACTACGAATAAACCTATAATTATAATGTATAAGATAAGATAATTGCCTTTCAAATTGATTAATAACTATGTCAGAGATTCCTTTACACTGACTCGAGAACATAACTGTATTCATGAACTTGTCAGTTTGAGATTTGTATTGGTCTAAGATTTTAGATTCTTGTTTTGTATTTACTTTTTAACTCGGTTATGAATTCATTTGTTTGTTTACACGGCTCCAGAGATTACTTTTCTTTGGTACTATGTACTAGTTAACAAGAGGGACCTAGTATTTTAAGTTAAATGTTAATATTATATCATTCATCAACATTATACATTTCACTAAAGCGTCAGCATTAACACATACTAACAAATCGTTGATCATGAAGTGTACTTTTGGCCGTTCGTGTTTAAATCATTTACAGAAAAAGATTTACCTTTTTCAATTGGGACTTCTTATCACTTTGCCAGTCTTTTTACATCCCGACAAGCACAAAAGGTTATTAAGCGTTTTAGCTACTATGTGCAAATGTTCCATCGCTAAATACCAATACAGAAACCAATCAGTAAAGTATTCGAAAAACATGGCAAACCATTTTATTTGAAAGTTTTTTTCTGTTATATAATTTTTGAAACTTTTTTAGAAATAATAGGCAAATACAATATTGTCCACCTATATCATGGGTAAATGCAATAGTTTAATTGTTTTTGTATAACTACATTTTTTTTTTTTTTTAATTGTTATCAATAAAACAAAATTGACTTCGCGTTATTTGAATATTTAAAATCGTATTTTCGATTGCCCGGGCATTATAGTGTTTTATTTAAAGCGTTTCATTATTATGTTTACTTCCACTCTGTTGGTCGGAGGTTAGAATGGGCCTACAGTAGCTCCTGTTTAATATAAATGGCAATTAAAAGGAAACGGCAATAACCGCTTTTACCGTTTATTAACGACTTCTGGACCACAATAAACGGCAAAGGGAACTATGACAGCTGTTAACTTGTAAATTTTCTAGTATTAACTCATCAACTGTGATGTGGAACGAAATCATTAACATTGTATATAGATATTCAAATAACTGAAGTACTGAATTAAAAACAAAAGTTTACATAATGTTATATGTATCTACATTTACTAGCTATCTCTTATTTCATAAATAAATTGTACTGATTATAATATAAATACATTTTAAAAAACCTTCTATCGGGGACCAAAGGAGGAACTGTTTTTTATATTACTTCCCAACAATCATTGTTTATTACGTAAGTTTGTACTAAACTGGAATTTATTTAAAATTTACTATTTTAAGATGTCAGATTTGTAACGAGTCCCAACACAAGTAATTTTAGAGAGAAGGGGGTAATTTCAAAAACTCATATTAGGTAGTAGTAGTATCAATTATTTATTTGTACTATTTTTTAATTATATATTTTGTTAAGTAATCAAGAATTAGTATGCTGCAAAATAGTGTATTCAAGCATAATGTTCTACACAACCACCCGATATCAATAAATTTAATACGGAAAGCCATGTGTGTCACGAATTATCCAAAATACATTAAGTAGATTATAAAAAAAAACCTTTTTTGTTAATTTAATGAAAATTTTAAACAAGTTTACTATGTAAATGATCCCAAAAATCCCAAACTAAATAAAAATCCCTTTTTTACCTTTCAAAAAAAGGAGACAGAACTGACAGCTTTAATGTGACATGTATTTATGACATTTATAAGGGTTAAAAGCATAATGTCTGTGTAACCTTTATCGGTCAGAAAACTTAAAAGCGCGAATTGTAACTCCTAACAAGTTTCAGATTTTTTATTAGCAATTACTATTGGTGGCATCAATAACAATAAATAAAAAAGTGTACATTTTTGCGTGGTTCATAGCTAGTTTTAATAAAAAAAATACAATTGCATAAGAAAAATATTTTTAAACTTAGCTAATAATAGTGGAAGGGCGTTATAGTCCAATCGTCTTACAATTATACCTTTTTTCGAACTTTTTTTGTGTCTTATAAATGTTTGTAGATGAAAAAATACAAATTTGAAAAACCCTAAGTCAAATGTATTAAGAGTTTCAACAAAAAATATTTTGATTTTGACATATCCACGTTGGTATGATTGATGATTCCAACATCCGACCTTTTACAGATCTATGTGGGTTTCAGAGCATTTATTACGTTATTGGATCATTCCTTCTTTCCCATTTTTCAATAGAGATTAAAGTACTTCGAAAAGTCACCTAGTCTCTAAAATATAAGTACTCCATTAACGATTTTTCGCTTAAGTATCTTTTGTTAAATTCAATTCTAATATATTTTTTAGCATACAAAATAAGATTAACTAAAGGTAAATGACACAAAGTTAATTCCTACCGAAAAAACAAAGGAAACTCAGGGCAAGGCATACAACAAAAATTGGATTTTATTCAACTATACTAATTTTATAAAAATAATGGGTATCTCGGTATACGCCAAATGTGTTCGGTAAAATTATTATTTGCTTAAAAGGTTTGGAAACAGTCTCTGATTGTCGAGGTCTGTGTTCGTTGTTTTACTGTATCGAATAATATAATGACGCGATAAGAAGTCAGAAAACGTATTTGAATTTCTCAGATTTTCCTCTAGAGAATGACTTTACTGATTTTTCAATGTGGGTTTAAGACGAGTCGACATTCAACTAATGTAGGGGATATTTATACATTTGATATATCATACTCATATACCAGTGGAACAAACGGGTCTTATGAAAGGGTAAAATAACGTAAAATCACGAATACTGTTGCTTTGTCCACGCACACACAATATAACTTTGCAGTGCAACGGAAAGCACACACACATACACTAATGATCGTTTATATGACTCACCAGTTGCTCGTCGAAATAGAAACCCTTAAAATTAGACTTGTTAAAATGAAAAAACTATAAAACGGTGTATAAAAAAAATGTTGTTTATTTTAAATATAAAATTAATAAACCGATGACGGCTTGACTTTTGGTGTAAACCGAGCCAAGATGAAATTAGTTAAGATCGTTTTTGTCCAGATCACATGAAAATTTAACAATGGTGGACGAACGTCACATTTTCGAAATGTTTTAATACCAAATTGTCTTTATCAAAATACTAAATACAATATCGATTATGTGACATAAATAAAATTAATAATTCTAGATAAACAGCGTTCCAGATTTTTTTTTCAAGTTTTAAAAAAGAAGTATCTTCCTATATCATGAAAATGTATACAATAAACTACATACTTGACAATTGAAGATTGGAAATTAGATGTCACAAACAGATGGCACCCGAGACGTGGATATAACATGTGGCATGTAGTTTATTTTTTTTTTTTTGCTTGTGAAACTTCTCGATTGCAGGAGTATTTACCATTAGTTAAAAACACATAATATTATAATATTCAACTACATGTAGCGAAAAAAAACTTTGATAATTTAAAACCTGCCATAAAAAAGAACAATCAAGTAGGAATTTCAAAAGGGAAACGTTTTCTTTTATAGCGAGCTATTAAACAGAATTATTTCTTTAATATTATATTGTAAGTAAATACCCGGCGTCTTTCAAGTATTTTATTTTTAAATCCAGGCTTAAGCACTATTATACAAAAATGCCTTGCAACAACCGTTAGGAATTTTAAGGAAGAAGTAGTCAACATATATATTTTTCTTTGTAGGAAATTTTAATGTTGTATTATTTGTTTTAGTAAAATATGTAATAAGTACCTAATGCCTATTAGGTTGTACGACCATTGGTGCCCGTTTAATTAATAGCGGTCGCAACGATAACACACTCAACATCTTTGTCGACCCTTCTATTGCGAATTTACAATCATAACCTTGTCCCATCTCAAAATAATTGACCTATATCGGACTTATGATTTCAACGGCGTTTCAGTCAAAACCATTTGGATGACAATGTAAAACACACGAACATATTATTATTAATATTGAGCCTCCACACCATGTGCCTTTGTTAGCTCATAAATGTATACTGGCTTGAGAGAGTGAAAATACCTAAAAAGAAGTATCGAAAAATTATTAATCAGCAAATAACTGTAAAATCAGTTAAATACATAACTGAATATTTAAAAACGTGTGTTGTTTAAAAAAAACCAACTACAATTATGCAGGCA